TACAGATATCATCCACCCGCGTGGAGGAGGTAATCAACGTCGTCAAAGTCCTTCCTAGGACTAAAGCTCCGGGCCATATGCCACACCGGCCTAAAGGCACTGCCAATGTGCGCGCTCCTTTTTATAACGTTGATCTTCAACGCCATATTAAGGACGCAACATTTTCCTGTCCAGTGGAAGTAAGCGAGGATCCATATGATCCATAGGTCGGGCAAGCCGGAATATAACCCTGAATTAATCGGCCGATCAGTCGCCTGCGTTTCTTGTCGAAGGTCTGGGAAAGTCTGATTGTCGCCCGACGAGCAAGGCTTATGGATCACATGGCCGTCTTTCCTGATCATCAATTTGGGTTCTGGGGAGGGCAACCACGACATAGGAGACGACCGAGAGTCTCCCGACTACCCACGTGACGTTGCAGCCTTATTAAAAAAAACCGCTTTGATGTTTGTCCACGATAAAGCCTGAGGACCCAAACTGGCGTGGCGAAGCAACACCTAAGCCAACTGTGTTGTTATAAAAATGTATGCTACTTTTGATCCAATGCAATAAACATTTATTTAAAAAAAAACCGTCAAGTTCAAGGCAAGGTGTTATATGTGGAATGGACTTTTGGAAAAATTCGGTATTTATATTTCCTATTCTCGTCACGTAAATGTACTTCAATCTGATTTGGAAGCGGGAGCTTATACATTAAGGCTGACTTCTATTCAACAAATAAAGTTACAGTCCATAATTGATTTCTTTCTTTCCTTCAAAAGATATGGTTGCCCACTGTCTCCAGCGAACGAAAAAGTTTTATGCAAAGTGATTGATCACATGATAGAGTTAAGTGTTATCAAAAAGGCCCCATCGTCGCCCTTGTCATCTCCGCTTACATTGATAATAAAACCTGGCAAGTTAAGAATTTGTTTTGATGCGCGTAAATTAAATGCCGTCACCATAAAAGATATTCAATGCCAATTTTGGTTGGATTGCTTAGTCGACTACCACCTGTGTATTGCATCATGAAAATAGACCCCAGAGATGCGTTTAGGCATATTTGCTTAGATTTCTCGTCACAGTCATAAGCCGCATTTACAGTTCCAAATCGTCCAATATATCAATGGCAAATGCCGTTGGGATTAACAAATACCCCCAAAACGATGAGTTTTATGGACAAAGTTATTCCATATCAGTTAAAGTCACATGTCTTAGTGTATCTTGATGATCTATTGGTATTATCATAGGAGTTTGAGGAACATTTGTTGCACCTTGCTGAGTTGCCACTCAACATCGTAAAGCAGAATTGACTATAAACATTAAACAAAGTCAATTCTGCCTCAAAAAGGTAGACTAGCAGGCATATTACGAAATCATCCCGATAAAATTCGGGCTGTTGCGGAAATTCCGGTCCCTAAAACTCATAAGCAGCTAAGCAGAAATTTGGGGATGATTACGTGGTACAAGAGATTTATTGCTCAGTATGCAACTAGCATTTTTTAAATCTCAGAACGTCAAGGCAGTAAACCACACGAGTGGAATGAAAAGGCCCAAATTGTATTCGAGAGAATAATATCTCAACTCTGCTCAGCACCATTCGCAATAAATCCTAATCTTAAAAAACCATTCATCGTACAATTTGACGCATCTCTTCATGGAGTAGGTACGCTTTTAGCACAATCCGATGAATCGGGATATGACGAAAAAGCTAAAAAAGAGCCCAATCTATCTATACAATCACGGAATTGGAATGTCTTGCAGTGGTCCTGGCCATAACAAAATGTCGTATTTTTATTAAGAGACATTCGTTCAGAGTAGTAACTGGCCATAGAAGCCTTCGTTGGTTGTTTAATCAGTCAGACCTGAGTGGTAGGCTAGCACGGTGGGCGATAAATTGCAGTGATTTTGTTTTGTAATTGAGCATTGAGAAGGAAAAGAAAATGTAGTACCCGATGGTATCTAACGCTGTTTGAAGAGATAGCTAAAATCGCTACTGTTAATATCAAAAATTTTCCCGTAATTGATATACAATCCGAAGCCATTTAATCACCAAAGTATTCGAGCTTGAAAGAAAATCGTAGCTTATCTATATAACCAGACTTTCAGTTAGTCGATGACAACATCTATCACAGAAGTTGTTTTCCAAGCACTGCGGGATAGCTAAATGTTTAGAGCGCAATCGACGTGGTTTTTAATGGACAAAAGTAGTCACAGATGTGCAAAATTATAAAAGAAAATGCGAACTATGTCAAACTTCTAAACATCCTACGTGCATTCTTAAACCTCCTATGGGTAGTCAAGTATCGAGTGAAAGCCCATTCCAATGATTATTCTTTGATTTTATTGGACCTTTTCCCCGCATTAAGAAAGGAAATATATATTTATTTTCGTATATTTGTCGAGATCACTTCTCTAAATTTACCTTTTTTTAAGTCAGTAAATAGGTTTAATTCGGGTGTCGCGACTGCATACCTGATACAAATATTTTCCTGTTTCGGTGTTTCTAAAATCAGCGACAATGGAACTCAGTTTAAAAGCCATGAATTCGCTACCCTGATTTCTTAATATTCCGTAAATTAAATTTAATTAAATTGTTTTTAAAGAAATTCGGTTCACCAATCAATTAGATTATATTCTTTTTTTGTAGTCCTTGTTTAACGTACGATCACCTATGGCCATAACTACAAACTGCTGAAAATTTTACATTTACTTAGTGAGAGTGTCATACAATTAACTAGAACCGATGAATTTGCAAAGATTCGTTCGTACATCGAAAAGAATTTACGAAAAGCATATAAGCAAAATCAGCGAACATATAATTTCATGCGAAACCCTGTTCGTTTGAAATCGTTCTCAAAAAATTTTTTGTCTTTAGTAATTTAGCGGTAAATTATAATGTAATATAAGCATCGACTGCAATTAAGGCCCGTGTAAAACAAAAATTGGGTCAGTCCATTTTTCTAATCGAATATATGAATGGAAAAGAGTTGAAAAAGTTCAAAGCAAAAGACAATTTTCCAGCTTATATCTTCGTCTCTTCGCCAAAGAACAAAACTGTGTTTGAGGAGGTTTGTTCTGATTGAACAGAAATTGGAAATTACCGCATGTGCGCTTTAAGCAGTATTCCTGCCATGACTGTCATTAGCATCCACATAGGCTTTCATGCTGCACGATCAAGAACACATGATATGATAAGGTTGTGGTTAGAGAAGCTTGTAAGCAGGTGTGGAGTAGAAAGTTTGTATGAATGGGTCATTAAACCACTCTCACACATTGCATTTTTGAGCTGCCTATCTTTTCCGATTCTACTGAGGTCCAGTGCAGAAGTGTCACGATTCAATTTTATAAGTCGCGTGGGACATTTAAGTTCCCATTTAACCGAAAACTTAATCCGTGTGTCTTATTGAGAAAAGAAAAGGTTTGTCTTCCGGTCAGAAGGGCGCATTAATATATATTTTCGTTCCTAAATTGGAGAAATATACTTTTTACCGAATATAACCTTAACCCAAGGTATGAAAGAGTGTTGTGTCGAAACTCTGTCTCATGCGCAGTGTTCTCTTGACAGGTACCCATAAAGCCGTTGCAATTTTGGCATCACTGCTGTACGTTGTATATTTTCGTTGGGAATGTGGTGATGGCTGCCGGCCCGAGGATAGCATGTGGCTAGATCTCTCCCTGGCCTTAGACCAGTTATGAGCCACTAAGGTTCATATCATCATCATAGAAGATTAGGCCTTGCCAAAAATCTAGAAAAATACCTAAGACCATACATGCATATGTTTGGTTAAGTCAGCTATTGGCTTGTGTATTTCTGTCCCTTTTCTGTGTCTACACTTCATTAAGTGACGACTAACACAAAAACCCACACCTCTAGACCCAAGTAAGGCCGGACCCATTCTTAGACTGAGTGTGCCCCAAAAGAGATGCTGGTGTTCGTTACATTACAAAGATCTCAGAAAATGACTTCTAAGCAGATCCGATGATTAAATAATAATCTTTATCGATTTAGCTTTTTTTCACTTTAATATTTTGTACCTTTTTCATGCATCACAAGCTTCAAAACCTAGATAATTCTTCAAAGACGATCCGTTGAAGAGGACGAACAATCAAATGGATAAACGATCCTTGTTAAGTTTAATATGCTTCGACTTTTCGTGCTAGGAAATAGCGCCTCAGAGGTAATGGGGCACCCTAGTACATCCGTAACCGGGTCTTAGCAAGGGATCTAAAGGTTCCCTTGCTAGGCGATCTTTTACGACATCATTCCACCAGCTATATGGTCCTTCTTTCTGCCCACCCTTATATACTGGCAAGAAGGGTTTGCATAAGAAACCGACAGAGACTTCGCTGGATCCACCCTATCGATCTCCCGAACTCCCGGGTACTTGGATAGATATAAGCTAAATCGTATAATAAAAAGAAACGACGTATAAGACTTAATAATTAATGTTAAGTATGTTAATTCCCTTATTGCACATATAGATTAAGATGCTTCAGAATAGTATCAACAAGATAGCTAATAAACAACAAGATAATAATAAAAGAAAAAAATAGCTTAGAAAATATTTAATGGGCTTGTAATACGTAGTTTTTATTGAAATATCTTAAAGAACCTGAACTGCTAGGGAACTAGGAAGACGTTAGATGCATACATTTTCACAAAATCATTGTATCATTTTTACTCATTTTTAATGTGTTAAGGGTATAAAAAAAATGGAGCAGTTATAATTTTCTTAAGGGTGGCTTAAAAACTGCGCGAGCATGGGTAACAGGTCATATTTATAAAAACATTCATGCGATAATTTTTGAATCCCCGGATATTTTTTATCAAAGTAACGTCGACTCAAGAAAATACGATCTGTCCTAAAATCTTTATTTAGTAAAATATTGAAAATATATAGAACGGACCGTACCGTTTAAGATAGCCTCATTTTATTTGATTAACATTAAGCCCGAACGATAGGTCTCGTCTATATAATATGCTTCGTAATATTTGATATTTCACAATCCTGGCATTTCAGATGGAAGTCCTGGTGCGAGAGATGCAAGACCAGGAGCATGGTGTGCCAGTGCGTCAACAGAAGATGTTCCTAACATCCATTCCATATGCGTTTATGGGTTAGTAAGATATTTATAGAATAAGTGTGAAAAAACTTGAAAATTTTGATATAACACGTTAATAACCACACAGGGTACGATCTTATTGAGTGGCTAATGGACCATCTTCAGATAGAGGAGTCAGAGGCACTGAATATTGCCAATCAGCTGTGCCTGCATGGCTACTTTTTCCCTGTCAATGACTCCAAGACTCTCACAGTAAAAGACGACTCATCTCTTTATCGCTTCCAAACACCTTACTACTGGCCCTGGCAACACAAGGCACCGGACAATGTCGAGTATGCCATTTATTTAGCAAAGCGGTCACTTCGCAACAAGCAGCGTCATGCACTAGAGGACTATGAGGCAGAGGCTTTCGCTTCACTACATAAGAACCTGAAAGGCAAGTGGGACTTCATTTCTATGCAAGCCGAGGAACAGGTTCGACTTGCCAAAGAGCGGAAAAAAGGTGACAAGATTGTTGGCGACTCCCAGGAGCGCGCTTATTGGCGCGTTCACCGTCCACCACCGGGCCTGTTTACGCCTCTCGAGCCTTGTCCGGTACCGTCACGGGATCGCCAGGGTCAGAAACCTAATAAAAGAAAGACTCCAGATGATATTCAACGTGAGGTGGAATTTCTGATTAAGACTTTAAATCGAACACGCATGAAAATGTCACAAGCCTGTCAGTCTCTTGTTTGTTACTCGGAGACGTTTAATGAGTACGATTTCTTTCTGCAACCAGCGCTGCCCTCAAACCCTTGGGTTACTGAGGATATTGCCTTTTGGCAGTTAAACAGCACCTATGTAGATATTCCCACTGAAAAGCGAGTGAAACGCTGGGCCATTTCCATAGAAGAGCTCGTCTCTGATCCCACGGGATTGCATGAGTTTACAACTTTTCTGGAAAAAGAGTATTCTCACGAAAATATACGTTTCTGGATTGCAGTAAATCGTCTCCGCCGCTCCGCACACTCACAAGTGGCGCGCAAGGTTAACGAGATATTTGAGTAAGAAAATAATTGTCATGATTACTTGTACCGTACTCGCACTGTATAATTATGTTTCAGAGAGTTCCTTAAGCCTGGAGCGCCGTGCGAAATCAACATCGATGGCAAAACCATGGAAAGCGTTCTCCGTGGTCTTAAAAATCCCTCGCGTTTTACTTTTGACTCGGCATCGGAGCACATATATATGCTGCTGCTGAAAAAGGATTGTTATCCACGCTTTGTCCGTTCCGAGCACTACAAACGTCTTGTAGACAGTGGTATCCAGCCTTCACACAAAAAACGATTCTTTTATTTTGGCGCTGTAAGTGGAGCCAAGAAAAAGATGACTGCTGCCCTTTCATGTCAACCAAATCAAGGCGAAGTGACTAAGGTCACAAATAACGCCGTCACAGCTAGCGGTTCCATTACCAATGTACCACCATCTGGTGGTACCCCGTTACGTCGGGGTAGTGATCGTAGCCTTACTAGCTCGGCACTTGAGCTAGCCGTCATTGCTGTCAATACAAATGCTGGCTCCCAAGTCCCACATTCTCACTCCCAGAATAACCTACGTGATATTCCATACAGGTAAGATGCTAGCAGTAGTCTTTCTATGAATGTGTTTTATTGAATTCCACATCTTTTTAATTATCGGCTAAAATATCATAAATGTTGTGTGAGCGCTTGGCGCTTCCCTCAGCAAAGGTATTAGGTGAAATAATTAGGTAAAATAAAACTCAAACGACGTAAATCTCAAATTGAACGACTCTGGTCATTAAAATAGAGCAACAAGTAGAGAAACGAATGTCTGGTACAACGATTTTTGCCAATGCCCACAGTTTTGGATTTACCAGTGAACCACTCTCGGCTTCCGGGATCGTTACATGGGTAGCCATTTTCCCAAGACCTTTGATTTGAGATTAGGATTTTTAGATAAACTTTTTACTTAGCGAAGAGTCGTGTATAATCGAGAACCTTTATTATCGTGCTGGCGATATAAATAAGCAAATAAATTTCCAATACTGTGCATATTCTAAAAACAATTGTTTTTTTTAACAATGCAGGCAATCACCTAACACAAAGTTTGCCCACTTAGAGACTACCGTGGATATCTTGGCAGCAGAATCTGGAAGTTCCGTGTGTCCAAGCGATGAGTCAACTACAAATGCCCTACAAGATCATACTGCGCTTACGCCCAATAAAGTTGGTATAACAGTTTTACCTTTATCTTCATGCTCGAGTGAGGTTAACGCCAAAGAAGTGTCAATGCCCCATACCAGGTAACAATTTTACCTAATAATTAGTACACTTACTTATTGACTTACTTTCAAAGCCGCAATCCGGTAGTCTGTGAAGTTAGCAAACGCATGCAACGCAACCTGTGCGTACGTCCCCAGAACACTATAGACAGTGAGGAGGCGGGTATAAAGTGTCAAATGCGTAATTTAGCCGAGCAACGTCGTGTCTCTGTTTCTTTAACGCACAGGTATCCCACCTTATCAATATCCTCTAAAAAAGTCATTGAATTTAAAAAGCTTATAATTTTATATGAATGCTATATTTAAATCATTCGACTGAATTTACATATTGAAATGTAGCTTGCGTTACGCGCTCGCTTCCTTAACTTTACACATTAAAAAAATATATTTTTAACAAGTAAGAGTGCCCGACTAGGAGGTTCCCTGAACCTTTTTTTTATCAACACCAAAATCGAATCGCGCTACGCGCTCGTTTGCTGTAGCATTAAAAATGTTTTTTTTTTTTAAAGTTAGATCCCTGTACCGGAGTCGAACTCGCAACTCCAATCAACCTCGCCACCCTCTCATACCCCACATCCATACAAAAAATGTAATTTTTCATGAGAAAAACGAAACGAAAGCTCGGCACGATACTATCGCAATTTTTTTTCTATTTGGATGTATACTTGTGTGTTCATGTGTGAAAATGTACACAGAAATTCTTGCGCTTGTATCTCTCTTTAATAACTTACGTGTCTCTGAACCGATCTGGATAAAAATTTTAGATGTGTATCCTATTGACCGATTCAATATTCGTATATTCACAAAAGGACAACATTAAAATTGTAGTTTAAATTAGTGGGTAGTGATTTAAATATTTAATTATTATACGTTATACATATACGTAATAATAATTATACGTACATACATAAATACAGACGTACGGATAGGCGAATCTCTAAATGTAGTTGGGTTCTAAAACAATTTAAAGGGTTTTTGACGCTTATATTGTATAGGTTAACGATGGTTCACTATAGATAGCGGCTACGTCGGATACTGCTGGTTCTGCAATCGATGGTAGGACTTACTGACAGACGGGCATGGCTAGATCAACTCGGCTATTGATGCTGATCAAGAATATGTATATTTTATGGGTTTCTTCTGCCTGTTACATACATTTGCACAAAATCATTATACCCTTTTTACCCATTTTCAATGCGTTCAGGATAAAAAATAATTTAAACTCTCACCCTTTGCCATTACGAAAACCATACCCGATCCATAGGTGAAAACTAAAATTACTCAACAGACTGAAAACTTATAAAGATGACTCATTTTACCCTCGACGTACCCATCACTGTTTCGGCAAATGATACCCTTAATACTAGAAAGGGTCATCTACTTAAACAGTTTTGCGCGGTGTGGCCAAAGAGATAATTCAATCAGAATTACAAGACCAGAACGTGCGCAAGGTAGATGGTAAGTTGACAGAAACAGTATTGCATATTATAACAATTCCCTCGACACACCTCACGGAGCACATAATGATGGATATGAAAAACTCAACATAAGTCCCTATATTCCAAGTCCCTTTCGCTGCAATAACTGTCATCGCCTTGGACATACCTCGACGCCAAATGCAAGCATCACACAAATGAAGAGACCCAAACTTGCAAGAACAACAACTGCGATAGTTATAATGTAAGTAAGTAAACTAAAAACCAAATAAAATTAAAAGAGCAACACACATATTTCCACTGAAAAGAAGTGCCCAATTTATATAAAACAACAAGAAATAATCGCAAAAAAAACCGACTTGCAAGTTATTTAATATACTTACATTCATAAGCGAAAGCACATTAATGGTGGCCCAGCATACTCTGGAACAACGAAAGCGACTCAACCTGGCCATAGACTACGATGGTCTCGACGATGTCGTTACCTTAACACAACCAAGTACATCATTAACCCTCCCACCAGAAAAATTGAAAGTGCAAATCTTACCTTGCAATACAGCAAAAAGAACTTGTAGACAGTGAAAGTCTCAAACTTAAAACAACAAAAATAAAAAATATCTCCGATAACATGGAGTGTCTCTAAACACGTAATCGTATGTCACAGGTCCCTCAATGGCTGACAAGGAAGACATCGCTTAAAACCCTTTTTAGTCAACCGGGGACTCTAAATAAAACAAACGCAGAAAATAATAATCTAAACGAAACTAAGTTTTCAAAAATACCTCATATTAATTTCCCTTTTATACAGCCGCTCAAAAAGGCAATGACATTAAAATTGTCGCCTTAATTTGTGGGTAGTTCCAATTGCTTTATTTATTGATTGATAGCTATGGGGCAGAGGCGCGGGGATGCGATAGCGATAAATAGAACGATACTTGATCTATATATTCAATTCCAGAAGCTACAAGTCAACTTTGGGGGTTCCAGCTCTTTAAACCTAATATTGTTGCTCCAAAACATCATTTGGATATCGATTTTTATTAATTGCTTGGAAACGAGGCAAGTTACCGATTATCTGAAACACACAAATACTAAAGGCTCTTGTAAGTTCTAAGATCTAGTAAGGTCTTGTACTCTACTTACTCTAATAAGAAAAATATCTAAATATTGTTAAAATTAAACAATATCAATTTTATATATTTTTTCTTATATATTCTGTTCCACAATAAACCCGAAGATTGTTAAAAGAGCATGTTTTTCTTTTATTTTTTTAATATCGTAATGTATATCTCGCCATCTATAGCTCAGCCTAGGCGCTCATATATCGTATTGAGGCATTAACAACCGAGACACTAGATGGAAACACTGAGTTGTTGGCTCGTTATATAAGCCATCTAATTGCGTGATCGATTGGTTCTAGAGCTACCATAAGAGTGTCCCAACTATTGTATATTTATGTGTCGCTTTACGTGTTCAGTGCAAAGAAGAACGACAAGATGTTTACATACGTGTGGCAATCGATCGTCGTATACAAAAAGAGGGTGACTTCTTCGATGATTTTTATGACCCAATCATTATATTTCGACCCGTATCGAATTCCTTCTTGCTGGAATCGTTGCGCTAAAATTTGCTGCCAGAAATGCAGTACGAGCTTCTCTATGAGCCCATACATTCTTTTTTTTCTTTTAATTATGTTTTATTTTGCGGAATCGATTAGAGCCCTCTGATCTCTACCAAGCGAATATAAAGGGAAAACAAGTGAGTAGCTTATATGATATTTACCATGCTTATATGATTATTAACAAAGAAGGGTAAGGAGATATTTAAATAATTGACCTCGTAGGTAGTTCGCCGGGGTGAAACCTTCAGAGGCGTCTCTCACTTATGGGGTCCGCCAGGGCCCTGGCGGCCGCGTTCGGGTGATGCAGCAGCTTGTCGGCGTACCGGCTGCTAAAGAAGTTCAACTGATCCCCGACGTTTGTTAGGCGGAAATCACTTTCGATGGCGTCGGTAGTCACGTACCATGGCAGGCCGGCAACCTTGCGATCTGCCTTGGCTTGGACCACCCTTATGCGACGCAGCTGGTGTGCTGACGCCGTTCCCCAAACTTGAATAGCATATGTCCAGATAGGTTTTACCATCGTCTTAAGTAGCAGTGCTCTCGTGGAAACATGCAGCTTGGTTTGGGGCTTTAGTAGCCAGTCGAGCATTTGAATCCTTCTCAAGCATTTTGCACTCGTTGCCGCTATGTGGGACCCCCATATGAACCATCGGTCCAAGTGGACGCTCAAGTAGCAGAATGAGCTGGTTTGCTCAATGGTACCTCCATCGCACCGTAACCATTTGTTGCAGCTTGTAAAGATTCGTGCGAAGCCAGGAAGGCGGTGTCATCCGCAGAAGTTTGAACCTGCAGTCTTGCGGGGCTAAGGGCTGCACTGGTTTGTCCTTGTGTGGGGAGGTCCGGCGTGTACAGCGTGTTCAGCATCGGACCGAGGACGCTGCCTAGTAGGACAACTGCTTGAATGCCTTTGATAGCCGACCTTTGGTCTTTAACGGCCACGTCAAAGGTGCGTCCTGCTAGAAGGGAGCTCAGGATGCTAAAATGTGGCGCAGGGAGTAGGGCTTTGATTTTGGAGAGAGGGCCATCGTGCCAGGCCTTGTCGAACGCCTGTTTGAAAGGTCCGACGCAGTATTGCGTCTGTTCATGCCTCCAGTACAGGGTTGACTATCCGGTGAACCTGCTCGGGGCAGCCGTGAGACTTTCTGAAGCCAAACTGATGGTCCGGGACCAGGCGCATGACCTCGTCGAGCTCCAGAAGTCGACTTAGCAGGAATCGCTCAAAGACTTTCGAAAGCGTTGGCAGCAGGCTTATAGGGCGGTAAGATTCCAGCTGTGTTAGCGGCTTACCGGGTTTGGCGATCATGATAATCTTCGCACGTTCCATTGCTTCGGGAAGTGACTAAGCCTGAGCAAGGAGTTGAAAAATATCGCGAGCGCCATGACACCTTTGCGTCATGTGCCTTGGCTGCTTTGTTGTCAATTTCGTCTTCTTCAGCTCGAGCGCTTTCAGCTGTGTCCCGATTGTCGCAGGGAATATGCTTCTACTTGGGAGAGTCATCTGCAGTGGCGCATTAAGTGATACAGCCACTTTACGGCGCTTAGCATCATCTGCGAAATGAAGGGGCGTGAAGGTCGCCTCCAGGTGGTGAGCAAACGCATTGGCCTTCTCCTCGTCTCCCCAAAGGTGCCTGCGACCAATTTGTTATGCCCTGGGAGAGTAAGGCTGCTGAGATGGCCAAGTTGATTATTGGCGGATATACCTCTCGATACCCTTTCTTGCGAAGCGACAAATGAACAGGCGAATTCGTTTCCCTTTGCGGCGAATTCAATATGCGAGCATGTATACGCGCTCCCATGCTCATCTTTACTCTCCCACGCACGAACACCAGCAAGCAGCGCAAAGCAGACGAAAGAACAATCACGCCAGTTTACAGTTATCCTCGCTCTAACGGTCCGTATATCTGCCCTGTGCTTGTAGAACATTCAACTACGCTGCCCATAAAGAATTTTGCAAAGCCAAATTCACTTTCAATCGCACCGCCAGAGAAGGTAGAAGTGTCAATTAGAAACTGCACAATTTAGGATTTGAGACAGTGTTCTAAACTCGTGGCCGTTATGTAAGACCCCGTTCTTCTGTAAAGCGCAAAATTCAAGTTCTCGAATCACGAGACAGCCACTAGGTGATCGCATCCAAATTACAGTAGTATTGAGTGGTGAGCCAAATAAATTGTGAAAGGTGATAATGGGATGTGAATATAAGTGATATTGGAGTCAACCAAAATTTGAATTACAGCGTTGAAATTTAAATCACGCGACCGGCCGGCTTCTGCAAGTGCCTTCGTGCTGCCCCCTTTTTGTGTGCTTGCACATTGCGGATAGGTCCGGTCGGCCGCCTTATCCCACGATAGTTTCTTATCTGGAAGAGCAAGAGATTCAACGAGCTGTTCACGCACAAGGAACAACGGAACTGTCGCCACCAGCTTCACCTCCCGCGCAGCTGCCAGAGTACCGACGCTAGTTAGCGCTTGCGAGCGCCCTTCATAAGCTACTGTTGCACAAAGTGAACCGAGACTGGCCGGCGAGTGTGACTTCGGGTGTAGTAAAAGTGAACGCAGCTGCTTCAAATGGGCTCGGCGCTTTTGAAAGGCGACCCGTCGTGTCCATCAGCCATTCGTACAGTATCGCAGCCATTACCTTTGACATTTAATTTAACATATACATTTTCAATACCAATAATAGTCCGTCTTTTATTTAGCCTTAAAGCACGCACACAATTTTTGTAAAAATGCCCAAATGAGAATAGCCCAATCTGCCATAGCTTCTCGCATAATCATATGAATTTCAGCATATATATCTTTTAATCCGGATCTACATCACTCTGCTTCTGCATCGATGGGCCCAACGAGCACAACGAGGGAATGTATGTGAGTCAATAATTACCTGGCAAGTACACGCATTGTTTGTAATTCGTATGACTATTTGCGACCAAATTTAAATCAGGGTAACATAGCTATTCTTTCTTTTTGCGATTAAGAAAGTCAGATTCCTTCCTCTTTATTTGATATTTTGCTATATTTAATTGATAATGATATGAAGTCACGGTTAGTTACAAGATTTTGCAATGAAATAAATGAATGCTTCGTCAGATGTTAAATTGACATGAACGTTTAATCTCTTTGACGGGTTCGTCACCGGTATGACATAAATGATATTATGCATAACTATTAGAACAAATGTGATCTAGAAATAGGGGCGGCCCAAGACAGATAATAGGTGCCGCCAAGGTAGGGCGGGTAGAGAACAGGGTACTATTAACGCCTTCAGTACTCCAATTCATTAATATCAGTTTGACCTTTAGCCATTTCATAGTAACTACAGAAAGTGCACTTATTCATTACATTTATGGTGTCAGTATAGTGTGACAAGGGAAAGAATCCACGCCCCATCTGACGAGCATAAGCAGCAAAAGCAAGAAGTGCACGACCCCCGAAATCCTCTATACGCCAGTAGATTTCCTTAGCCAGTGGTACGCCTAGCTCAACGACTAGGACAGTACAAGACAAGCGGTAATCCACAGGGACTAGGCAAACACTACGCACACACTATATAATGTAATTTGCGCCCAACATGGTGCCCGAAAAGCTAACAACAAATTTAGGCCCACAAGGTGCAACATGCTCTGGTAAATCCAACTGTGCGACCTTACTCGCATATTTTATTTATTGTAAACAAAGTATGAATATATTTTATATGAATAAACAATTTTCATGACTGTCTCTAGTAAGTAGTTTTTGGGAAACGAGAGCTGATCCAGTTCCGAACTCGTTCACGACTAAGCTATGATTTATCGATTATAGATATTTTATTAAGGCGATGAGACTGCCACACAACCAATTAATTAGCAAATTTTTATCTACACACGAAACCAGTTTTCATACCCTGAACCCATTAAAAATGGGTAATCAGGGTATATTGTATTTGTGCAAATGTATGGAACAGGCAGAAGGAAGCATCTCCGACCCCATAAAGTATATACATTCTTGATCAGCATCAATAGCCGAGTCGATCTAGCCATGTCCGTCTGTCTGTCTGTCCGTCTATCCGTCCGTCTCGTCCGTCCGTATGTCCGTATGTATGA